GAGAGAGAGAGAGAGAGAGAGAGAGAGAGAGAGAGAGAGAGAGAGAGAGAGAGAGAGAGAGAGAGAAGGGGGGGGCACGTGTTACTTCGTTTCTTCTTTGCCTTTTGCCTTCCAGGAAATGTTGCAAAATGAACGCCCGGCATTGTGGCTCCCATGTCAAAGCTACTCCCGCCGACAAGTCCCCCACGCCAAGAGCAACTGCCAAGCAGATTGAATGCTGATTGAATGCTGATTGAATGCTGATTGAATGCTGATTGTTTCATTCATACAATGCAAAACCCTCTTAACATCAGTGGCACTCCTATCGTTGGAGGCGGACTTCCATCAACTTCCCCGGGCCAATCATCATTGACATCATCCGCGAGCCGACCAACCTGAGTCTTACCCACACGTTCATGCACTTGCACACATAGAGTCAAAACTCGGCAAGTAAGCACGGGGCATAAATGCAAGATGGCTTTATTACAAACAATATTCAGAGAAGATAGCAACAAAAGTCTGAATTGGAATCTTTAGCAAAAACGTCAACGGGACAACGGACAGGATTTTCTCATAAAAGGGCACAGTTCTTGCACAGCACAAAAAAAAAAACGATGCTGCAAAGGTAGCGGCATCCCAAACAAAACACTCGCAGATAAAGAAACAAAAAAAAGGTTGGGTGGTATTCCCTCCCATTTCTTGCACGCGGATTTCTGTCTGCTCTCAGGCTCTTCTTTTTGTTTTTGTATAGGGCAGTTCCTCATGCTTTTTCTTTCTTTTGTGCTTTTTAGTTTTCTATTTTTGTGGGCGAAGCCGCAACGGGTCATCTAGTATATATGATAATTTCAATATAGACACATATGTGACCACATATATATCCTTTGTTTCCTTTCCTTGGGGGGGGGGAGGGGAAGGGAGGGACGAGGGGAAGAACGAGGGGGGGAACGAGGGGGGTGAAAACTATACATTCATAACATTGCCGAATGTATAATGTGCGAGGCAATGTTATGTACCTGTCATTCCAGAGCCGCTTTTTTTTGGTTGAGATTCCAGAGCCGCGTGTCTTTGGGCTCTCTAGTTAAGTTTGCAGGCGTGCAACGCAATAAAGCGTTCGGTACATTGCAATTAATTACTATAAAGTCTATAATAATAATAATAATAATAATAATAATAATAATAATAATAACAGCATAATTACTGATGAGAATTAAGGTAATAATAATAAAATAATCTAGGCTACCAGCCGGGCCGTCCGGGTCGCGGGTGGCCAGCCTGTGCAAGGACCAGGGAAGGTCCCAGCAAAAAAAAAAAAAAAAAAAAAACCTATGTTATGCAGAAAAATAAACTGAACAACTTTTGCCTCAGGGTCACATCGAAATTCTTCACCAAATTTAGATTTTTTTTTTTTTTTTTTTTTTGACCCGGCCGGGCAAGTGACCCGGGCCACTCTGGTAGCCTAGAAAATAATAAAATAATAATAATAATAATGTCCAGGTCCGACCGTAATGGCGGTCAGATACGTTTAGGAAAGTGCCATTGTGAGTATGCCCTAACTCTATTTATTCTACTTTCATCATTGCGAAATCCATCCACCACCCTCCTTTTTTTTCTCCCTAATTTCTTTCCCTCATTCCTCCCCCCCCCTTCCTTCCCTCATTTCCTCCCCCCCCCTCCTTCCCTCAAAAAACAAAAACC